GATCGCGATTTAGTTGGGATTAAATCTGGGCCGTTCATCGCGATGCAATCTGGGCCGTCCGTGCCTGATTGAATCTGGGCCGTCAGTGTGCACGTTTGATCTGGGCTGTCGTGTGCGCGGGAACGGATCTGGGTTGTCCGATCGCGCGCACGCGGATCGCCAACGTGGCCCGTTCCCTGGTCAGCGTTGCCTTGCCACGCGGCGCGTCCTGGTTGGCCAGGGTTGCTGACCGGGCCGTTGACGTGGCACAACTTTTTTAAATTACGTTTTGACCTCCGATTTCCGATTTTCTTTTCAAAAACACCTACATAATCCAAATTTTCACCCCTTTTTCTCAAAATCAATTTCAATTAAATCTAAATAATATTTTAACCCAATTTTATCACTATTATTATTTTTATTTTCATTAAATTAAATTAAATTAAATAAAAATCAAACAAATAAATAAAAATAAAAATAAATAAAATAAAAATTTTTATTTTTATTTGGGTGTTACAAATAAAGCTCTTAATTTAAGTAAATTTATTTATTATGAGTAAAATCATTTATTATACACTTACTGTAGCAAAATTCTAAAACTGACTTATAGAGACAATAACACAAACAATATCATAAATCTCATATTCAATTAACCATAACAACAACTTTTCTTTTTTATCTGCCTATTGATATACACGGAGGTCCATATGGATATCTCCACTACACGTGAACCCTTATTTAACATTGTCAATAAATCAGTCGTCCCCATACTCTGTCCGATATGAGCTTCAAAAATATCATCCCTCAATATCCCGTCCAATATGAGAGTGAAATGAGCCGTCTCTATATATGAGCGCCAAAATATCAATCCTCGATATCCCGTTCGGCATGTTGGTTCACGATAGGGTTCCTTATACACCCAGTCCATCCACCATCTCCCAATATATCCAATAAAGTTACAATTCATTAATTCATTTAATCAAATAATTCATCGTTTACATTTAATTTTCAGTTTTACAATTTAACTGTTAATAACGCAAAACAAGCAATACACGCATCAAGAAAACACAACTGAATCATCATATCAACTCTAGTATATTATTATGCATTTAAAACTGTACAATCAATCAATCAGTTAAAACAGGACAAACAGTAATAAATAACCAATTCTGTCTCCATTAGTAACCTATTATTAATTATTGAGATTTTTTAAATTATACAAAATACCACATTATTTATAATTAAACTTCAATTCTACAACAACGAATAGAGTGAGGGATTCTTAATCAAATTAGTGTCCGAACACTAAACTTTCAGCTCCGCCTACTGGCGGTCTTAAGATTCCCTAAATTTTCATTCAGAGATTAAGACACACTCTAAGTACCTAGAAATACCCTCAAAAACCCAAAACTAGTGTTAAAACTTTTTTTTGGCCAATTTTAGAATTTCGGCATGGTGGCACCGTCGTGCTCCAGCAACGGCAACGCCGCCCGCAGCGGCGGTTTGCCTTGGACTGGCTATTTTTGACCGATTTTGGTCAATTTTGTACTTATCTCTGCGAGAAAACACGTTAAGGGGTCTTAGTTGGCCCAAAAAAGTCAAAAAATAGAAGCTTACTGGCGGTAGAGTTTTCCAGTGCGGCGGCTCCACTGTCTCACCTTCGCGGTTGGGCATTTCTCTTCGGTTAACCTGTGGTAAACAGAATGATGAATACAATGGTGAAAAAATTATACGAAACGAGAATCGAGAAGTGCCTCATCGGGGGCATTTTTTATTTTTCCCGCGGCAGCGGCATCAGGCTTTACCCGTGGTTTTCGGCTCATCCGTCGGTCCTTTTGCTTCGATTTGGCAATGGGGGTGTTCAAAATAAAATTTCGAGCGAATGAAAAATATTTTTACCTTTTTTGGCGGTCGGAGGTGGCTCCGGCATGGTGCCGGGTGGTGGTCGGCTCCCTTCTCCGGTGTCTGATTCTTCTTCTCTGGCGAGGACTAGTGGTTAGAGTTAGGATTCAGTGTGAAGTGAGATATTTATATCTATCTTCCTTTAATCTAAACCATCCATCGCGTTTAATCTCGACCATCCTATTGTGTTTAAATAGAAAATGAATATGGACTGTTCATCATGATTTGATCTGAACTGTACGATCACGCCTGAGTAGGGAACTGATTCGGACCATCCACGCGTGCGAAAATAAATTCGGATCGTCCGATCACGGGCATGCGGATTACCAGCGTAGCTTCCCATGTGGCACCGCGTCAGTGTGTCTTGCCACATGGTGTGCTCCAGTTCGTCGGGGCTGCTGATTATACGGTCCTACGTAGTACATTTTTTCTAAATTAAATTTTGACCTCCAGTTTCTGATTTTTCTTTCAAAAATACTCCCAAAACCCAAATTTTCACCCATTTTTTCCAAAATTATTTTCAATTTCATCATCTACATATTTTTCCTAATTTTTACATTAAATAAAAATTTATAAATCAAAAAATTATATTTTTATACATTAATTTTAATTTTTTTAAAAAAATAATTTCGGGTATTATAGCTGCGACCAAAACTCCAAAATCCTTTCGATGAACCTCTTTTTGATTCTCGTTTCACATAATTTTTGGATCATTGTGTTCACCATTCTTTTCTGTGCAGGTTAATCGACTCAGCTGCGAAGGATGATCGGCAAGGCCGCCGCACCTGGAGGTTTTTCCCGCTGGTAGGTTTAATTTTTTGTGATTTTTCTTTCAACCGAGGCCCCTAACGTATTTTTCTACAGGGATACGGCCAAAACCGATCAGGTCGAGGCGAACCGTCGCTGTGGACGGTAGAGCTAGTGCTAAAGCACAACGGTGGTGCCGTGCCGGAACCCTAAAATTGACCGAAATGAGTTTTGGACACTGGTTTTAGATTTCTGGGGTATTTTTAGGTATGTGACGAGTGTTTTGGATTCCACAGAAAAAATTCAGAAAACTCAGTACTCGATAAGAGGCATAGTAGATAGCTCGACATCTCGGAATACTGATCCGGATGATGATCTCTCACCCTATTTTCCGTTACGGTAAATCGAGGCTTAACAATTTATAATTTCGTATTTTTATGAAAAATTAAAATATTCTAAAAATAATTACATATCACTAGTGGAGCTGGAACTGGTTAGTTCACAATTATCTTGATTTTTTCGTTTATTTTTTTGTATTGTTCTACTTGCTTGATTGATCCACCGTATGATTAAAATTATTCCTTTTAATTTTTTTTTTTTCATTTATTGATGGTCTGATCATAATATTTATCTAATTCATTAAATAAAGGCCCCAATTATATTCTTAATTCTTGATATGTGAATCGTATTATTTGCTTAAATATCATTTTATTGATCTGTGAATATATAATGAGATTTTGGTATTGTGTGTTTGGTTATTTTGTTGATGAAAGTCTGTATGTAAAAGACTTACTGGGTACTTAAAAAAGGGCGGACGGGCCCGGTATATAGAGAACCATACTGTGAACATTACTTCAGTCGGATATGACTAGGAGGTCCCTTACTAGTAAGGTTTGGAATATATGGTGCACCTTCATACCAGACATGGTATCGAGGCGGTGAAATGTTTGGTGTCAATTACTAAACGGTGTATGGAGACGGTCGATTAATTATTTAAATTGGATATTAGGTTCACGAGTAGGGGGACATCCCTATGGACCCTCAAGGGTAACGGTAAATAAGTAAAAATAGAAAGTTATCGTTTCTTATTATCTTATATATAAAAATAAAAAGTGCATGAATATGGGTATTCATAGGTCATTTTTGAAAAAACTCATTACATAAATACAAAATAAATGATTTTTTTTATATTGAATGAATTTATATCAAATTAAGGGTTCTATTAATTATTTTTCTGATTTTTATAAATCTTCAGTTTTCTGTATCTGTAATTAGTGTGGTATTCTTATTGGACTAGTGTAGCTCACTCTCTCATTAACTATTTCAGATCAAGAACACCAAAATATAAATTCTGATCAACAAGAGTGTTGTGAGTAGTTCACTACCCGTACTCCCTTCAAGTGATAGTGAAGGTTGTTATAATTTGCTTAGTTATTCGCTTTTTATTTTATTTCTTTAATTTTAGCTTATCTTTTAGAAGAGACATTCTTGTAACTCTATTGGACATTTTAAATTATCATGTAAGGAATATAAATTTTGACTTTATTAATCGTTTTCACATTTAATTTATAAATTTATTTACATTTAAGTTCCGCACCTTTACAGATATAATTAATTTTAAAAAATATTGTCATTTAAAAAAATAGAAATTTTATTTAGTGAAATTAATTTAAAGATTTTTAAGTATATATTTTTATTAGAAGTTAAAATATTTTTTAAAAAAATTATAAATTATGAAGGTAGATTTTAACTTTTATAAAAAAAAAAATAAAGAAAACAAAAAATAAGGAGAAAGAAATAAAAAAAAGGGCAAAAAACATCCGACCTGCCGGATTCGAACCAGCGACCTAAGGATTGTCTGCTTCCGACTACAGTCCTCCGCTCTACCAACTGAGCTAAGGTCGGTATGATTTCTTTTTCACCAACAAATATTTAACTCTATTGAGGGAATGTAACTTTGAACAAAAAGACAACACAAATTCAATGTAAGACATGATTATGTGAACTAAATATTGAAGACTGTGTATTCCATATAAACCATTTTATGCATTTAATTTTATATTTCTACTATCTATTTGAATGCGATTAAATTTAACTATTTTACGTTTGTTCTTCTTTTATGAAACCAAAAATTAAATCAAACTCCAACCTGTTCTTATTGTTAGCTCACCTTTTCTTTATGTAATGGAGAAATGCCGAAGTACAATTTTAACCCACAAAACTTGAAGGTTGCCTCTTGCAACCCCTTTTTCTCTTCTGTGGGCATTTTACCCCTTCATCAATAGACCTCAGGCCAGATGCTACCATCTTGAATTTAAGCTGGGTTTGTTCCAAGGCTAGTAGGGCTACTAATACACACACACACACACTCATTTTCAGCTGTGTTTGGAAGACATGAATACCTTAACCAAATTACGTTTAGAAGTTACAAAACAAGGCCTCAAAAATCAATATCCAAAATCCAAACACTGCCTATAATCATGAAGCTAATCATGTTTTAGCATTTACAATGGGCTTGGCAAATTGTTCTTCTAGGAGAAAGGGAAAAGAAGATTAACTTAACCAAAGATGGGAAAATGGCTTCCCGTTTTGGCATTTCTTTACGTGATCCAATACGATCTCCTGCAGCTCCTTTTCAACATCCTCAATGGGTTGGCAAGCATCGATGATCTGCAAATCATACCATAGAAAAGTTAGTATTTGACACCAATTTCCAATTCTGTACTACTTCCAAAAGATAAAAGAAAAAGAAGAAACAAAGTAACGAAGTTTGAAGCGAGAGCCAAGAGATGTAATCTCCTTAGTGGTGTATTTCAATTGTATTACTCAATTTAGGTAAATTACGTAAAGATTCTTTTGAGTATAAATATGGTCGCCTGCTTTATTTTTCAGAAATATAATGATTCGCACATAACAAATATATTTGTCTATTTTGATCCAATCTCTGCCTGAAAAGATACACGACAAAGGGATTTTAGTTAGGTAAAGAAAAAACAACATGAGTGTGTAGAAAGAAACAAAAGTGTTTACAAGAACAGATTTTGTAAATAAGTAAACAAAAACTGTATTTTAGTTTGTGTGTGGGTTTTTTTTTTGTTTTGAGTAACAAAATAATTTCTGATTTGGTGAACTTATTATCATTCATAATAATGTAAAACCAAAAGTAAATTGAAAATAAATTACATAAGGGTAATTCATGTTTGAGTATGAACAGCTTTAGTGTCACTAGTAGATTCTTTTCCGTATAAGCAGCAGAACTCAAAAGGAATTTAACATAAACTTTTTAAGAAACCAAACACGAACACTTCTCTAACAATAAAACTGACAACAAGATGGATGGAACTCAACATAACTTCTGCTACAGCTCTGCTGAGTTATCAAGACATGAAACTCTAGCTAATTGTCAAATTCCACCGGCCCTTTTTAGCAGAAAACTGCACTAGTTTCTGACAGCTGTTAAACCATTCTTTTTTTCCTTTTACAAGACTGCCAACTAAACCTAAGCCAAAACTTAGTGTCCAGGAGAGCTTTCAAAGCAATATAATGCTTGCTTAGTGGTTCTTAAAATCAATAATTGCTTTAGAGTTACTTACTTATAAGCTATAAATATTATTTGCCCTTGCAAAATTAACTAAAAAAAGAAGAGAGAATTCAAGTTAGGTAGCAGCAATGTAATAGGAGGATCCATTATATAGCCCGGAAATCATGAACATCACCAAACAGGGTGAAATTGGTAAACATTACCTTCCAGGAGGAATCACTAAGAACTTCATAGCACTGGGCAACTTTTTTCTGAAAGTCAAGTTGCTCATATCTCTCACCTCCGTAGCCTCCTCGTTGAGCAGCTTTCTGGTCATTTTGGGATCAAGTTTCATATTCATAGAAATCATGATGAATATAATGGGAAGAAGAGAACATTCATCTCAAGTTTCAAGATTCATGCTCTATTCTTCTGAAAGAGACTAAAGAAAATCAACGGCCAAACAATAATATGCTATTTGCTATGGTTCAGTTGCTACCAATTTGACTTTCCTCACTCTCAATTACATTAGGCATGACTCCATGCAGAAAAATTTAAGTGGCCAGACAATATTTTGACAAATTTAAAAAGGAATGATCCATGATTGCATCAGCTGAACAAAATCAGCAGCGAAGCAATATGAAATTTAGGGGCTTTTCCCTTAGGAATTCAGGAATTTTTTTTCAGAATTCAGAGCAAAAATTTTAAGAATNNTAAGAATCCAAATTAATCCATGTATCCTTCACTAATTTCTTCTTTTTTTTTTTGTATATATATATATCAGTACAATTAAAAAGTTTTAGCATAAAAAGGTAACCTCTGGTGATATGTCAAGGTAGACTACCAAATCTGGAGCAAGCAATCCTATTTCTGGTGCCTGCCAAAAGAGGGACCCTACTTTTATTAACTACCAGAAATAAAACATTAACTTGATTTCAACATATATCACCTTGCACCAATCAACATCAAGCCCCTTTGCAGATGAGAAAGCCACTCCAGAATAAGAATAACGATCAACGATTAAAGTGATTCCAGCTTTCAGTTTGGCTTCCATCAGTGATCTGCAAAAATATCACAGATAATTAAGTTAAAACATAAGTAGTAGCTCTATTGAGTATGGTCCTCAACATGTCCGGTTCTCCCTTATCGAAGCATGAGAGAATGGATATTAAGTGCTTTATAGGGGTACGACTAGCTCTATTCAAGCCAAAGAATGCAGATATTTTGCACGCTGCAATATATTGCATCATAAAAATACTAATCACCTACCAAGAAGACAATAGATCATGCAAATTTGTTGCAACTGCAAATTTGTTGCCACTTTTTAGTCGCATTTTCTTTTCCCTCAAAAACAAAAACAATCACATGAAATTTTCCAAATTGAGTGACCATGCTATACTAAATGGAAGATCTCAAAACCAATCTCAAATATGCAAGTTCCATGAACTCAATTATATCGTAAAGTTCAGTGTTCAAAAGAAATTTTGTACTTTGATTTTTCATTGCAACTAAAAATACTGAATCACTATCTCAAACAATGTTTTCTGATGCTAGCAATGCCTACACAAGCACAAGCTTGCTTTCTCACAGCAACTGAAATACTGGACTAACATCACAAACATTCCTTTTGATGCTAGGATGCCCATCCCCTCCGACACCCACCAAAAGTTTCTCACTGCAACTTAACGACCCCGCCATCATCTTAAACATGCCTTCCTATGCTAGTACACACATTTCTTTTTTGAGATAAATATATATCTATATATATAAAGCAAAATATAGAATTTGTATCCATTGTAAGCAAAAAAAAAAAAAAAAGGTGTGAACTTCCATTTAACTGGTTCTTGTTTCATAAATTCTTATGCATAGTCTTCTAAGAAAAACTTGTACCCACGTAGAAAGATTATAGAAAGTGCAAAATACTTCAAAAGAAACCCAATCTTCTCTATATACATACTAACATAGGGAACTGAGAAGCTGGCTGCCTTTATCAAGTGCAAAAATCTAACAACTAAGAAAAGTTAAACCAACTAAGATAAGAAAGGAACCTCTTCTCCCAACGATTAGCACTGAAAAGCAGATGGATCGTGTGATCATCCAGTTGTGATTTATTTGAAAGATATGTAGATATCATTTGTCCAACACTTGTATTTCTATCAGGAAATCTCCATAAATCAGCTGGATAACCCAATCTCTCTAAGAAGGAGAGCAGCCTACTGCACTGTGAAGATTTGCCACTGCGATCCAAACCTTCTAGAACTATCAAAGCACCTCTTGACCCATTTTTTCCACTAATATTGTTCTGAGTAGTTTCCATTTGAATTGACCTAGCAGAAAACTTGGGGCAGAGGCTCAGGCAAGAGTTGAAGGGTCTTCTTGCAACTAAAGCTCCAAAACTTCTGAAAATTAAAAGCAATTCATTACATAAATGAGTTATAAGTGATTCGACGATCTGGACTTAAGTTTCACCTCAATGTTCCAATTATCGGTAGAACATGAGGCAGAAACTGGTAAAAATTTTCAACTTAAGGACTCTTCATGTTTCTTAGCATTAGGGAAAATAAGAATATCGACTCTCTTAGTTCGATCCCAACTACTGGGTTTAATTATTTAAGTTCTAACATGCATATGCACACAGCACACACTAGATTCTTAGTATTCCTACTTGTCCTTTAAAGAATGAGCAAAAACTTCTTAGTGCTAACAATGGCAGCCAATATAAATTTGATTACGAGACACAACGATAGAAAATTATGAGAGTCAAAGATCAGATGGACTAAGATATACTTACAATGCCTTAAAAGCTATCTGGGCCGGCATGTATCATGCCCCTTCCTAACTTAGAAACTGCATGCAACTCAACAAAATAGTTTCAATTAGATCATTAACCTGATAAGTTACTTTGTTCAACCCATTCGAGAAAGCAAGATATATTCAAACACCCACAGCAGGAAATAAATATGAGTGAGAAATACAGCATTTATGCATCAACATTAATCACCCCTCAAATGAGAGAAATATAAAGAATAAGCACCAAATCTCGCTGGACAAGAAGTACCTAAACCGAGATGGAGCCACTGATTGAATCAAAAACATGTTTAAATGTGCAACAGAATCATTTCCAGCCTTAAGCCTGCTACATCAAATATCATCACTATATCAAGAAATAAAATGACTGCAAGGAAAAAGGAAGAAATGAAAAAAAGCATGACCACCAGTTCAAAGCTTGCCATCAAGCAAACATTTCCAAACCAAAACCACACAACAGATTGAATGACTAGATCATTTTTATAATACTCGAGTCCGAAATTTTAACCCAAAATCAATTTTGACATTCCAAAATATATAAAAAAATTTATTTTTAAATTGATTTATTTTAATTTTTGTTGAATTTATGAAAAAAAATAGATTAGTAATGAAATTGAAAACAATTTTGAAAAAAAATGAGTGAAAATTTGGGTTCGGAAGGTATTTTTGAAAGAAAATTGAAAACAAAAGGTTAAAGTGCAAATAGGAAAAATTGTACCACGTAGGATTGCCCAATCAGCAACCCCGACAAACTGAAACATGCCGCGTGGCAAGACACGCTGACGTCGGTGCCACGCGGACGAACCACATGCCCCGCAATCAAACGGCTCAGGATCGATCCCGCGCGCGTGAACGACTCGAATTTGTTCCTTTTTTAAGCGTGATCGGACGGTCGAGATCAAATCGCAATTGACGGTACATATTCATTTTCTCTTTAAGCGTGATCGGATGGTCAAGATCGATCGCAATGGACGACCCAGATCAAAGCGGGATGGGTATAAATCCCTCGTATCACACGGGAACCCAAACCCTATCTGCCAGCCCCTGCCGGAGAAGGTGCCCGACCGCCGCCACACCGGAGCCATCACTAACGGCTAAAAAAGGTTAAAATTCTCCTACATGCTCGGAATTTGATTCCGAGCACCCCCATGGCCAAATTGGAGAAAAAAGGACGGTGGGTGAGCTGAAAATTGCAGGTGAAACCGAGCGGAGCCGCCACTGCCAAAGTCTCAAAACTCGTCCGATAAGCCTCTTCCTGATTCTCGTTTCACGTGATTTTTCGATCATTATGTTCATCGTCTTTTTATGTGTAGGTTAACTGAAAAACGAACCTCAGCCTTAAAGGATAACTGGTGGAGCCGCCGCACCCAAAGGTCCCCCCTCCCCCTCCCGAGCGATAAGTTCAATTTTCTGTGATTTTCCGGCCAACCGAGGCCCTTAACATGTTTTTCTGCAAGGATACGGCAAAAACCGACCAAAATCGGCTAGGTCAAGGCAAACCACCGCCATGGACGACGGAGCCGGTGCCGGAGCACGAGGTCGCCACTGTGCCGGGACCCTAAAATTTGCCAGAATGAGTTTTGGACATCTATTTTGGATTTCTAGGGTATTTTTAAGTATATGACAAGTGTTTTGCATTCCGCATGGATAATTCAAGAAACCCAGTAACCATTAGGAAACGTAGTAGACAGTACGGCGTACCAAAACACAGATTCAGATAAGGATCCTTCATCATTTTCTCTGTTACGGCAAATTGAGCTTTAATAATCGATAATTGTGTGTTTTTATGAAAAATTATAGAACCCTAAAAATAATTACAAGTCACTAGTGTAGCCAGAACCGGGTAGTTCACGATCGTTTCGATTTCCTGTTTATTTTTCTGTATTGCTTATATTTGTTTACTATTATACTGTGCGTAACTGAATAGAAGGTTTTTAGGATCTTTTTGGTTATTTGGTTCCCCTGTATTATTTGTCGATATTCCGGCTATTAGTTATTTGACTATATTAAACTATATTGTTTGTTTAAATGAACTGTGAGTATAAAATGAGCAATTAGTATTGCGTGGTTGATTGTTATGCTGATGAAAATCTGTATAAGAAAGACTTACTAGGTACCCGAGAAAGGGTGGACGGACCCAGTACATAGAGAATCTCACCGTGAACGTTACCTCAGTCGGACGAAACTGGGAAGTCCCTTATGTAACGCCCGAAAATTTGAAAAAAAAAAAAAAAATTATTATTTTATTATTAATTATTTTAATTAGGATTTAAAAAAAAAACGTCAGCAGCCACGTCAGCAGTCCCGGCCAACCAGGACCTGCCACGTGGCAAAACCACGTCGACCGGGGACGGGCCACGTTGGCGATCCACGTACGCGCGATCGGACGGCCTAGATCAAGCGTGCGTACGGACGGCCCAGATGCAATCGCACGGACGGCACATACTCAATAAAAAACGGACGGCCCAGATTAAATCAAAATGGACGGCTGAGATCAAAAGGCAAAAGGGTATAAATAGAACCCCCACACCTGACCACAAAAACCCTAGCCGCCTGCCCTCGCTGGAGAAGACGAACCAGACGCCGACCGCCGCCACCCGCCGCCGCACCGGGGAGATTTTCGACCGCCGATCGAGGTAAATTTCATACCTCCGACTCGTTTTTCCACGCTGATTTCTCCTGTGGCCAAATCGGAGCCAAAATCCCGGCCAAACGGCCGAAAAACACGGCCGAAACCCAGCGGCGCCCTCCTCGATTTTTGCCTCCGATGAGGCCCTTCCCAGCCTCCGTTTGATGCAATTTTTATATCACCGTGATCACCATTCTTTTCTCTACAGGTTGATCGGAGCCGAATCACCAAAACACGAACCTCATCGGAGAGCCGCCGCACCCGAGAGCACCGCCGCCGGTAAGCTTCGGTTTTCCGTAATTTTTTGGCCCCCCGAGGGCCCTAGGGTTGTTGTATCGCAAGGACCGATGCAAGTGTGGCCGAATTCGGCCGGAAACGGCCGAAAACGGCCAAACCGAGGCGAATCGCCGCCGCAAGCGGCGGCGCCGTCTCCAGAGCACAGCGGAGCCGCCATGCCGGAATTGCGATATTGGCCAAAAAGGGACCCTGGGTCTAATTTGGGATTTTTTTGGAACACGTGCAGGTACCAGTAGTGCGTTTCAGTTCCCCGGGAAAAATTCAGGAAAAATTAAGGACAACCTGTAGGCGCACTGTGAAGCCGTGTTCGGACCCCGAAACAAGTAAGGACCCCTCACCCTATTTCCTATCACGGTATTAAAGTTCAATAAATGATAAAACGGTATTTCATGAATCAATAGATGTGTGAAATTGTTTAAGGTCGCTAATGGAGCCCGAATCTAGTGTGTTTGTCGGTTAACTGTTATTTGGCCTATTTTACAGTTTTAAATGCAGTATGAGGTTTGATGTTTTCATTTTATAGTTTCGTGTGCATATTTTACTGTTTTATTGATTATGGATTGAATAACTGGGATATTGATGCTGTATGTTGTCTGTTTGGCATAAATTACTGTTTTGTTTGTTTGTATGTGGATTAATGATGCTGACTGAGGAAAAAGAGAATGAAAGATTATGTAAATGAGTAATTGTATAATGTGGTCAGCCTGACTAGATATCCTGGGAGATGGTGGACGGACCGGGTCCGTAGGGAACCCTACCGGGATTGTGGTCTCCCATACCGGACGGAGTATGGAGATCTTATGTGTTTTGGCGCCCATACCGGACGGGGTATGGGGACGGCCCGTTTCACCCTCATACTGGACGGGGTAATGAGGTTTATAGGTTTGGCGCCCATACCGGACGGGGTATGGGGACGGCCCTGGAATCTGTTTTTCAAGTGTTAAAGGTTAACGGGTAGCGGGACCCCTATGGATCCCCATGGATACTAGTGGGCTGGTAAATGAGAAAAATATGTTGTGTAACGATTGAATTACAAAAGGCTTGATAAGTATTATGTTATACAGTTTATATATGATTTCATGATGATGATAATGTTATTACTTTCGTATACTGTTTTATGAATTTCACCAAAGTAAGTGGATGGTAAAGGATTTATTATTGACAAAAGAATTTGTTGTAAATTATGCTCCATTGGTCTTTTGTGTTTTCTACCCACCTTTACCTCCGTGACGGTGAGATATCGTGATGTCCTTACTGGGCTAGTGTAGCTCATTCCTTATTTAATCATTTCAGATCAGGAAGACATTGTTCCCGAGCCCGTTCCGCAGGAAGACGACGAAGGGGACGCCTAAAGACTCCATAGTCATATTCGTAGTTTTTACTTTCAAGTTTCTCCTTTAAGTAGTTTGATCTTTTATATTTTGTGAGCACGTTTTTTGTTTTAGTGTAAGGGATGTTAATCGAATTTTTGACTTCGTTTCCGCATTTGATATTTTTAATACACATTTCATTTGGAATTTCCGGGGCCGTTACACCTTACCAGTAAGATTTGGAGATATGGTTCACCCTTATACCGAACGGGGTATCGGGGTAGTAGAATGTTTAGCGGCCATTACCGGACGAAGTATGGGAACGACCGATTAATTATTTAATTAGATATTGGGTTCAGAAATAGGAGGATATCCCTATGAACTCCCAGGGATACCAGTAAGCGGGTAAAAATGAAAAACGAATATCGCTTGTTATCTTATATGTGGAAATACAAAGTGTATGAATATGAGTTTTCTTACATTGTTTTTGAAAAAACTTATTATGTAAATACGGAGTAAATAACTTAGTGTGATATCCTTATTTTTATCAATTTTCTGTGTGATTAGTATGATATTCTTACTGCGTTAGTGTAACTCACTCTTTCATTAATTACTTTAGATCAAGAAAACCAAAATCCAAATCTCGATCAACAAAAGAGTTGTGAATAGTTCACCACCCGAACTTCCTTCAAAAGTTACTGAAAGTTGTCTTAAAATGTTCAGTTATTTGTTTTTCGTTTATTTCTTTAATTTTCATTTGTTTTTTTAGAAATTACATTCTCATAACCCTATTGAACATTCTAAATTATTATGTAAAGAATATAAACTCTAACTCGATTATTTCGTTTCCGCACTTAATTTATGAATTTATTTCCATTTAATTTATGAGTCTTTACAATTTCAACCTGTCTGCTCATCTCTCTCTCTCTCTCCCCCTCTTTTAAAGAATGAGAGGAAATAAAATGAAAACATTTCTTGACTTGAATAAGGTGAAGCAACCTACTCAATAAATAAAATCTCCTTCTTGTCCTCTGACTTAAAAAACAAAAAAGAATTATATGTCGAAGGTTTTTGTTGGCAGTACACCAGGGGAAGGGGACTTTTTATGTTCAACCTCTATGGTAATAACCGAAACTAACTTGGAACTGGAGCTCAAGCTGTTCAGATCTTTTACTGCTGGGCCACAAAGCTCAGTCCTGCGAATTTGAATTAGTTTCGTCTACCTTCCTTGAAGCATATTGTCGATATAGTTAACCAGGCTTATCCATATCTTCCTTTAATATTTTATCTAGGTAATCTGTATGCTTACTTGACAGGTTAGCTCTCACAGGTGTTCATATGGTCCACTTGGACTAGACAATTGACATTGCTGAAAGAAGGAGGTGGCTGGAAACTGACTTGACAGTTTAGGGAAATGTGAATCCTGGTTTTGTTTTCTGGATCCAAGGAGTTCATCACAAGTCAAATAAATGGTACAGTGAGGAAAGCTGCCAGAGGGAATAATATTCTGAACCAAGGCCATGGTGTTGTAGTAGAACACAAAAGGAGAATGTAGCTCATTTCTTTGAAGTTCCTAAGGGAATTAGATACTGAGATCAAGCATAATAAACAGATTATGAAAAATCGAGCTTTATAAATTACTAGCCTCTTTTTTAATCCTTGATTCATTATTCTTAAGATTGGTCCAAGGTGAAGAATTGCTTGACTTTGTTAAATTTTTATTACCATGAACCCGTTCCTAGCTGGATTACTGAGTCCTTTACAAAAATTACATGCTTATATATGTAGCTAGTGAGGACGAACTTGAAAAAAAAAGTTCTATAAGTGCATGTTCATGGCATAAAAATGACATTGGCTGAGCTGAAATCACCAATTTCAAACACACGTTGAACTATTTATTGCCAATAAAATTTCCCGGACCAACTAGAGTCCTAGTCTGATCTGACAGCATAAACAAGGAAACTATTAAGCATTTCATCCTGCTAATTGTTCAACCAGAAAATAAACAACCATGCAGTTGGACATGGCTTCAAAAACACTCTTAACCAGTTCGTGTGTATGTAAATCATCCTCAGTTAAAGTCTCCAATATGACATCCAAACCCACTCATGACTAGTGCAGAAACCTAAGTATCTGAAGGAGAAGAAACAGAGTGTTGACAGTCAAAAACCGTGCTTCAAATAGCAAGAGGAAAAACGAGTTTACAAACACAATCAAACATCAAATTATAATAATCTCAACATTCAAATGATGATATTCTCAAGTTCACAAGGAAGAAATTACATGAATCATACTCCAGAGTGACCCTAACCTTGAAGAGGAGCAGCTCGAAGGGGAAGAATCTGGAGTTCAAGGCGATGATAAGCTCCTCTTCTTCATTGCACATGCTATGTTCATCAGGAATAACAACCGCAAAATTCTTCCTTCAGTCCTCCCCCTTCTCTGGTTCGTCAATAACCCTGATTTCACTCTCTTGCTCGTTGCTCTCCTGCTCTGGAATAGGAAGTATATAAAATGATTTATTTTATTTAAATTTAATATAAATTATATTAAAAATAATTACATATAAAAGATAATTGAAATCATGTACTTAAAAATTCATTAAACTTTAAGAACAAAATTTAAATATATTGTTCATAAAATTTTATATGATGTAAGCCATAATTGTATTTTAATATAATTTATATTATGTAAATATCTGAAATTTAACTAAAAATAAAATTATAAATTAAATATAAAAATGAATTATAAAATTATAGTTTACAGTTATTACACAATATTTTAAAATACTTAATAGTATTATGGAAATCTCCATTTTAAAAGATAAATAATATTTAAAGTAAAACGAATAAATAAATATTATAGAAACCACTTTCACTAGTAGTTGAAATGAATTCGGGTTGTGAACTACTCACAACTTTCTTACTGATCGGGATCTGGATTTTGGTCATTTTGATCTGAAATAGTTAACGAAATGGTGAGTTACACTAACCCCAATAAGAATATCACACTAATCACATATATAGAAAATTAAAATTTGATAAAAATCAGAAAAACAACTGATGAAACTTTTAATTTAATGTAAATTCATTTAATATAAAAAAAGTTATTTACTCCGTATTTACGTAACGAATTTTTCAAAAAAATAACTTATGAAACCTATATTCATATATTTTTTATTTTCACCTATAAGATAATAAGAGACGATCACTTTCTATTTTTACCCGCTTACTGGTACCCATGGAGGTCCATAAGGATGTCCCTTAACTCGTGAACCCAATATCCAATTAAAGAATTAACTAGTCGTCCCCATACCTCATCCGATAATGTGCATCAAACATTCTACTATTTTGATATCCTGTCCGGTATGAGGGTGAACTATATTTCCCAAACCTTAACTGGAAAGGGATTTTCCAGCCCCATTCGATTGAGGTAACGTTCATGGTAGGGTCCCCTATGTACCAGGCTCATCCGCCATTTTCTAAGTACCCAACAAGTCTTTCACATTCAGATTTCTATCAACATAATAATCAATCACGTAATACCAATATCTCATTTTATACTTACAGATCACTTAAGCAAACGATATAGTTTAGCATAGTCAAATAACCAATAACCGGAATACCGATAAACAATACAGAATGAATCAAATAATCAAAAATATCCTGAAAACCATCAATTCAATTATGCATAATATAATAGTAAACAAATATAGACAGTACAAAAAAATAAACAAAAAATCGAAACAATTGTGAACTAACTGGTTCCGACTCCACTACTGACCTGTAATTATTTTTAAGATTCTTTATTTTTTTATAAAAATACACAATTATTAATTATAAAATCTCAATTTTTCGTAATGGAGAATAGGGCGAGGGAGCCTTACCCGAATCGGTGTTTCGGGACGCCGCACTGTCTACTATGCTTCTTAACGGGTACTGGGTTTCCTGAATTTTTCATGCAGAATCAAAAACACTATCACGTACATACAAAATACTCTATAAATCTAAAATTGATGTCCAAAACTCATTACGACCAATTTTGGAGTTCTGACATGGCGGTGATTCGCCTCTACCTAGTCGGTTTTGGTGGATTTTTGGGTGGTTTTGGTGGATTTTTGGGTGGTTTTGGTCGTATCCTTGCAGAAAAATACATTATAGGCCTCAGTTTGTTGGAAAATCACAAAAAACCGAACTTATCGACGGAGAGATCTCTGGGTGCAGCGGTTCCGCCAGTTCTCCTTCGCGGCTGAGGTTCTTTCTTCGGCTAACCTGCACAGAAAATGATGGTGAATACAATGATCGAAAATTATGTGAAACAGAAATCGGGAAGGGGCTCATCAGAAGGGTTTGGGACTTTGGCTGTGGCGACTCCGCCAAGCTTCACCCCGCGGTTTCTAGCTCACATGCTGTCCCTTTTACTCCGATTTGGCTATGGAGGTGCTCTGAATCAAATTCCGAGCGAGTAAGAAAATTTTTTACATTTTTTTACGGTCAGCGGTAGCTCCGGTGTGACAATGGTTTGCAGTCGACCCCCTTCTCTAGCGAAGGCTGGCGAGTAGGTTTGGATTCTCGTGTGATGCGAGGTATTTATATCCATCATTCTTTAATTTAAACCATCCATCATGATCGATCTCGTCCATCCGTTCACGTTTAAGGAGGAAATGAATATGAACCGTTCATCACGATTTGATCTCGACTATAACACCCTAACCATTTTTTTTATTTTATTTTTTATTATTGTAATTATTATATGAATATAATTATTATTCATGTAATAATATATTGAATTTAATTTAGTTTAATTTATTTTAATGAAAATAATAATATAATAATAATAATAATGAGTAAAAATTATTTAGAGATTTAATTGAAAATAATTTTGGGAAAAATGGGTGAAAATTTGGGTTCTATGGGTATTTTTGAAAGAAAAATAAAAAATCGGAGGTCAAAACGTAATTTAAAAAAATTATACCACGTCAGCTGCCCGGTCAGCAGCCTCGGCCAACCAGGACGCGTCAGGTGGTAGAGACATTGACGCAGGAGGCCACGCGGAAGGGAGCCACGTAGGCGATCCGCGTGCGCGAGATCAAATAACTGAGATCCGTTTCCGTGCGTACGAACGACCCATATTAAAAATGCGCACGGACGGCCCAGATTGAATCGCGATGAACGACTCATATTCATTTCTTATTTAATCGCGATCAGACGGTCCAGATTAAATGCGATGGACGGCTTATATCAAAAGCGGATGATTATAAATAATCTCATCCGCACCCAAACCCTAACCCTAGTTGCCAGAGCTCTTCGCCGGAGAAGATAGCCCAACCGCCGGGGAGCCGATCGCCGCTACCTGTCGCCGTACCGAAGCAAATTTCGATCGCCAAACGAGGTAAAAATTCTACCATTTGCTCAGAATTTGATTTTAAACCCACCTATGGCCAAATCGGAGCGAAAGTACCGGTCAATTGGCCGGAAAATGCCTCCGAAGCCAAGCGGCGCCGCTGTGGGGTGTCTCGATTTTTGTCTCCGATGATGCCATTCTTGATTCCCGTTCGACGTGATTTTTTCACCTTTGTAATCACCGTTTCCTCATCTACAGGTTGACCGAAGCAAAACACCAAACCACGACGTGAGCCAGAGGAACAGCCGCACTGGAGAGCCCCACCGCCGGTAAGTTTCAGTTTTCTATATTTTTTTTTCAGTCCACCGATGGCCCTAAAGGTGTTTTCTCATAGGAACCGATGCAAGTTTGGCTGAATTCGGCCGAAAACAGCCAACCCAAGGTGGATCACCGCCGCGAGCAGTGGCGCCGTCGCCAGAGCACGGCGGAGCCGCCGTGCCAGAATTCAGAAATTGGCCAAATATGCCCTGGGTCTTATTTTTGGGTTATTTGAGACATGTATAGGTACCATAAGCGCGTTTTAGTCCTCGAGAAAAAATTCAGGGAACCCAAAGACCGCCTGTAGGCACAGTGAAAATCTAGTTTTCGGCGTCAAATCAGGTAAGAACCCCTCACCCTATTTCCTATCATAGAATTAAAGTTCAAATAAATTGTAATACTGCATTTTTGTAAATTAATGGCTATGCACAATTAATTAAGGTTGCTTGATTTATTTTACATTTTAAATGCATTATGGTATCTGGTTTATTAATTCTGTGGTTTTAAATGCATGAATCACTACTTACCTCACTACTTTTTGATTTTGAGAATCTAAGACATACTTGCTTTGTTGGATGCACGTTACTTTTTTATGTATTTATGTTTGAGTTGGTAACAAAGACTAAGGACAAATAGGAATGGTATGTGATTTGATAAATGGATAAGATGACAGCCTCACTAGATATCCTATGAGATGGTAGACGGACCGGGTTCATAGGGAACCCTACCGTGAATGTTGTCTCATACAAGACGAGATATGGAGACTTTATGGTTTTGGTGTTCATACCAGACGGGGTATGGGGACAGCCCTGTAATTAAGTTTGCTATGGAGAATGGTTCACGTGTTGCGGGGACCCTTATGGATCCCCATGGATACTAGTAGACTGATAAAAAAAGGCAATTGTTGTTTGACGAGTTGAATATAAAAGTATGATATGTACTATATTATATATTATGTATGAATTCATGATATTTATGATGTTATTATTTCCATATATTGTTTTTATAAATCTCACTCAGTAAGTGGACAGTAAATGGTTTAATTATTGATAAATGAATTTGTTTAAATCTACTGCTCCATTGGTTGTTTTAATTTTCTACCAACCTTTACTTATGTGACGGTGAATAGTGTGATGTCCTCACTAGGCTAATGTAGCTCATTCCTTATTTAACCATTTCAGATCATGAGGACTTGGTTCCCGAGCCCGATCCACAAGAAGACGGCGAGTAGATG